CCCCAGTCAGCCCTGCTCTGAGCCCGACCTGGGGCTGCACCTAGGGATTAGGCCTGCCCGCTGCCACCTGGGAGCAGGCCTAAGCCAGCAGGTCGTTATCTCCCGAGGGGTCCCAGACTGCGAGAGGGCACTGGCCGGGCTGAGGGATCCCCCCTCCCCCCCCCCCGAGTGCACAAATTTTTGTGCACCGGGCCTCTAGTATATATATAATGTTCAAACTATTGACAGAATTCCTATTAGAATCTGATCTGTGCTGAATAGGAAATCTTACTTTACACATTGAAGATACTATATTTCCATTACTGTATCTAAAATCACAATAATTTGGGGAGCAACTTCCTCTTGATTCCCTTAAAACATATACTATTACTCAAGCCTGTAAGACTTTTGTTTTTGTTAATCCTCACCTGACGATATTTTTTCCATTGATTTTTAGAGAGAGTGGGAAAGGAGGGGGGGAGAGAGAGAGAGCGAAAGAAAAAGAGAAACATCGATGTGAGAGAGACACTGATTAATAGCCTCCCGCAGGCGCCCCCACTGGGGCCAGGGATTGAACCTGCAGCCCAGACATGTGCCCTTGACCAGGAATCATATATGCAACCCTTTGGTGTGTGGGCCAGTGCTCTCACCACTGAGAAACACTGGCCAGGGCTACAGTTGTTCTTTTAGGCCAAGTTACAGAACCTTAGATTTATTCTTGTTCAAATTCATTCCGTTAGATTCAGCTCCTTGAAACAGCTTGTTGAAGTATTTTTGGTTCATTGTTGGGTCATCAAGCATATTTGTCTTCCTACCCATCTTCTTGTCCTCTGCAAATTGATAAGTATGTTTGCTTTTCTCCATCTTAGTTACTAAAGGAAATGTTGAGGTAGGCAGGATGGGATCATTCCATTGTACCGTGCTATTGCTAGTAGATTTTATTGGGCAGGACTAATTGTTTATGGAGGTAGATTTGTCAATTTAAACTGAATATTCCATATTTATAGCGGGAATTATCTTTTAGGGAATTTGTCCTGTTGTAACTGCTTAGTAACTAATGGGAGATTATAGAAATAAGTATAAGTATGGTCATGAGAATGAGATGAGGAACTAGCTTGGAAAGTTGATAACCCTGTTTATATTCTTTGTTTGTTTTGTTAATCCTCACCTGAGGATATTTTTTCATTGATTTTTAAAAATATATATTTTATTGATATTTTACAGAGAGGAAGGGAGAAGGATAGAGAGTTAGAAACATCAATGAGAGAGAAACATCAATCAGCTGCCTCCTGCGTACTCCCTACTGGGAATGTGTCTGCAACCAAGGTACTTGCCCTTGACTGGAATCAAACCTGGGACCCTTGAGTCCGCAGGCTGATGCTCTATCCACTGAGCCAAACCAGTTAGGGCTCTATTAATTTTTTAGAGAGAGTGGAAGGGAGAAGGAGGAGGAGGGAGAGAAGGAGAGAAAGAGAGAGTGGGGGGGGGGGGGAGAGAGAAATATCAATGTGGGAGAGACACATTGATTGGTTGCCTCCTGTACAGAAGAATCAAGCCTGCAACCGAGGTGCGTGCCCTTCAGTCTGCAAGCCAACTCTGTATCCACTGAGCCAAACTGGCTAGGTCCTGTTTATATTCTTTTTTTTTTTAATTAAATCTTTATTGTTCAGATTATTACATTTGTTCCTCTTTTTCCCCCCCCATAACTCCCCTCCTCCCAGTTCCTGCCCCACCCTCTGCCCTCACTCCCCACCCACTGTCCTCATCCATACGTGCACGATTTTTGTCCAGTCTCTTCCTGCATCTCCCACACCCCTTTCCCCCCCAAGAATAGTCAGTCCATTCCCTTTCTATGTCCCTGATTCTATTATGATCACCAGATTATTTATTCACTTGATTCTTAGATTCACTTGTTGATAGATGCATGTTTGTTGTTCATAATTTATATCTTTACCTTTTTCTTCTTCTTCCTCTTCTTAAAGGATACCTTTCAGCATTTCATATAATACTGGTTTGGTGGTGATGAACTCCTTTAGCTTTTCCTTATCTGTGAAGCTCATTATCTGACCTTCAATTCTGAATGATAGCTTTGCTGGATAAAGTAATCTTGGTTGTAGGTTCTTGGCATTCATCACTTTGAATATTTCTTGCCACTCCCTTCTGGCCTGCAAAGTTTCTGTTGAGAAATCAGCTGACAGTCGTATGGGTACTCCCTTGTAGGTAACTGAGTTTCTTTCTCTTGCTGCTTTTAAGATTCTCTGTCTTTTGCTCTTGGCATTTTAATTATGATGTGTCTTGGTGTGGTCCTCTTTGGATTCCTTTTGTTTGGGGTTCTCTGTGCTTCTTGGACCTGTAAGTCTATTTCTTTCACCAGGTGAGGGAAGTTTTCTGTCATTATTTCTTCAAATAGGTTTTCAATATCTTGCTCTCTCTCATCTTCTGGCACCCCTATAATTCTGATGTTGGTTCGCTTGAAGCTGTCCCAGAGGCTCCTTACACTATCTTCGTATTTTCGGATTCTTTTTTCATTTTGCTTTTCTGGTTGGGTATTTTTTGCTTCCTCGCATTTCAAATCTTTGCCTTGATTCTTGCGCTCCTCTGGTCTGCTGTTGGGAGTCTGTATAGTATTCGTTATTTCAGTCCCTGTATGCTTAATTTCTAGTTGGTTCTTTATCATAACATCGAGGGTCTCATTAGATTTCTTGAGGATCTCACTACATTTATCGACGGCTTCTAGACAGTTCTTAAGAGACCTTAAAAGTGTGGTTCTGAACTCAATATCCTCCATTGACAGTTTTGTCCTGTTTCTTTGTCTCCGCATTTTTTATGCTTTCTTGGTGCACCCCCTAGTGGTCTTTGTGAGCAGTCTTGTTGTAGTTAAGCCTTGATTGTTGTCGGCAATACCGGGGGTGATTTGACCTCCAGGCTAACTGGCTATGAGAGTCCGCTGTGTCTGCAGTGGGAGAGCTTCTGTGCTGGATCTCTAGGGCGGTGCTAATCTAGCGTTTGCCTGAGGCTATCTGGCAAATGGCTCTGCGCAGGGCTTGGGCGGGGCGGGTCCCCGGGGATCTACAGGGCGGCTGGAGCTAGCAGTTATGGCTGCTCTCAGTTCCGTCCCTAGGGGCTCTGCCTCACAGAGTCCCAGCAACCGCTGCAAACCTCGGAGAGAAAGCTGCCTTCGAGTTCCGACCGAAGCCAGACAGTCCCGCTTCTCCCGTTTGAGTCTGGATCCCTAGAGACTCACCCGGATCTGTAGCTCAGAGTCTGAAACTCCCTCCTGATTGAAAACAACAACCGCGCCCTCCGCCTCCAGCCCGCTCCGCGTGCACTCCGCACCTTAGTATTTCACTTCAGCACTGCGCCTCCTCTGAGTCTGGGTATGATATTCTCTTTCCTCCTAGTTGTAGAATTTCCACTCAGCCAGCCTTCCTGTGGTTCTGGATGATGTCCGTTCCATCTTTTAGTTGTTTTTTGAAGTGGTTGTTCGAGGCAGCAATCTCCGGCGTTAACCTATGCCGCCATCTTGGTTTCTCCTGTTTATATTCTTATATATCATGAAATATAATGTTGTATTTATTAATTAAAAAATATAATTCTTACATTCTTATGTAAGGTCTTAAGCAGGGAGAGCCCTCTTGGTTGATGAAAGGCAATGTTGTATAGGGGAAAGAGCCCTAAACTTGGCCCTGAATTTATCTATTTATTTATTCAGCAAACATATATCAAATGCCTACTAAAGCCCTGGAAATACAGTGATTAAAAAAAACACACCAGACTTGATCTTTGCTTTCAATGGAGTTTACATTCTAATGGGGCAAACAATTTTATAATTACAGATGAAATAATAATATTTTCTGTGACTTATATTCTGTACAAATGCTGTCCAACAGAAATAAAATGCAAGCCACATATTTAATTTAAAAGTAGCTCCATTTAAAAAAGTAAAAAAATGAACTTAATTTTAATAGTAGGTTTTATTGAACTCAATATATCTGAAATAACATTTCAACATGTAGGCAATGTAAAAGTTTTAAGATATTTATATTCTTTTTCTTGAATTAAATCTTTGAAATCTTAAACTTATACCACATCTCAATTTGCATTAGCCACATTTAAAGTGTTTAAATAGCCACATGTAGCTAGTGGCTTCCATATTGGACAGCACAGTACTTTACCCACCTTTACAGACTACTCTGTGGCTGGGCAAATTACTTGCCTTCTGTAGGACTCCAGTTTTCATCAGTAATGAAGGATTCAGACTTATCTTCTACAATTAAGAAAGGTTCCTTCCATTTGTGAGGGTTCCTTCTGAGTTGCTCTAAATAATCTATATCTTTTTTTAAATATATATTTTTAGTTATTTCAGAGAGAAAGGGAGAAGAGAGGAACATCAATGATGAGAGAGAATTATTGATCAGCTGCCTCCTGCATGCCCCATACTGGGGATTGAGCCTGCAACCTGGGCATGTGCCCTGACGGGGAATCGAACCGTGATCTGGTTCATAGGTCAACGCTCAACCATTGAGCCATGTCAGTCGGGCAGTAATCTATATCTTGATCTGGATGGTGCTTATGTGGGTGTATATAACATGTAAAAATTCATTAAGTTGTACACTTAAGATTTTGTACTTTATGGTATCTATATTATACCTCAGTAAAAGTTTTTTTAAAATCACTTCCAGTTTTTTTAAAAATATATTTTATTGATTTTTTACAGAGAGGAAGGGAGAGGGATAGAGAGTTAGAAACATCGATGAGAGAGAAACATTGATCAGCTGCCTCCTGCACACTCCCCATCGGGGATGTGCTCGTAACCAAGGTACATGCCCTTGACCGGAATCGAACCTGGGATCCTTGAGTCCGCAGGCCGATGCTCTATCCACTGAGCCAAACCGGTTAGGGCCCAGTTTTTTTTATTCTGTGCTCTGCTGAAATCACTCAGATGAACTGACCTTCAAGGGAAATGTGTGATGTGAAAAATGGAAACAGCCAGTGACTCTTTATCTCTTCTTCCCACCCAGGATGTGTCTAGTCCGAATGAAGCAGGAAGGCCGGACTGGGAAATACATGTGTCGTATCATAGTTCATTTTATGTGGGAAGATGTTGAGCAGCGTGGCAGAGTGATGGGGGTAAGTGAGTGCTGTTAGATTCTGGTCCTGAAAAACTCCAATGAGGGATTGAGTTGAAGTTTTATCTATTTTATTTTTCATTACAGGTTTACATTCAATATTATTTTGTATTAGTTTCCAGTGTACAACATAGTGGTAGACGATCATACACTTTACAAAGTGGTCTTCCCGATATTTCAAGTACCCACCTGGCACCATACATAGTTATTACAGTATTATTGAGTGTATTTCCTATGCTGTACTTTACATCCCCATGATTAATTTGTAACTTCCAATTTGTACTTCTTAATTCCATCACCATTTTCATCCATTCCCTCAACCTCCTTCCCCTCTGGCAACCATCAGTCTGTTCTCTGTATCTATAGGTCTGTTTCTATTTTGTTTATTTTATTATTTAGATTCCACACATAAATGGAATCCTATGCTATTTGCCTTTCTCTGTCTGACTTATTTCACTTAGCATAATACCCTCTAGGTCTAGCCATCTCATCACAAATGGTAAAATTTTATTCTTTCTTTATATCTCTGCCTAATACCCCTTTGCATATGTTTACCACACCTTTTCTATCCATTTGTCTATTTTGGGACACTTTGTTGCTTCCATATCTTGGCTATTGTAAATAACGCTGTAATGAACATAGGGATGCATATATTCTTTTGAATTAGTGTTTTGGGTTTCTTCAGAGATATATATACCCAGAAGTGGAATCGCTGGGTCATAAATCAGTTCCATTTTTAATTTTTTGAGGAACCTCCATACTGTTTTCCACAGTGGTTGCACCAGTCTGCATTCCCACCAACAGCGCATGAGGTTTCACTTTTCTCCATATCCTCACCAACAGTTGTTGTTTGTTGGTTTATGGATGATAGCCATTCTGACAGATTTGAGGTACTATCTCATTATGGTTTTAATGTGTATGGGTTAATACAGTTTTCTTTCATTACAGAGCAGAGCTCTCCCTGTAGATTGAGAAGTTAACTAAGTTTATAGATGTATTATAAAAGTCATACATGTTCATTGAATAACATAATTAGTGACATTGAACATCTTTTCATATATCTATTGGCCATCTGTTATGTCCTCTTTGGAGAAGTATCTATTCTGGTCCTCTGCCTACTTTTTTAATTGGATTATTTGGGGGGTTTTTTGGTGTTGAGTTATATGAGTTTCTAAATTTTGGATATTAACTCTTTATTGGATGTATCATTGGTGAATATCTTCTATTCAGTGGATTATCTTTTTGTTTTGTTGATGGTTTCCTTTGCTGTGCAAAAAATTTTTAGTTTGTTGTAATTTCATTTGTTTATTTTTCTTTCATTTCTCCTGCCCGAGGAGATATGTTAGCAAAAATATTGCTAAGAGAAATGTCAGAGATTTTACTGCCTACATTTTCTTCTAGGAGTTTTATGGTTTCGAGTCTTACATTTAAGTCTTTAACCCATTTTGTGTTTATAGAATGGCTTTGCTTATAGATTTCTGTGAAATGCTGACTAATGCCAAGTAGTAATTTAGCTAGAGTCACTTTTGCCTCAATGGAGACAGACATGCCTTACATACTTTATATGTTTGCATACATTATCATGTTTTGTCAGTGTGAGGACATCCTCTGTGTGGAATTATTAAACCCAAATCATGGTGATAGGAGAGACGGATTTGGTGAATGGAGGAAATCAAATAATCATCCAGTTTAAGCATGTTATACTTTTGACACTGATTCAATGTTTGAACTAGTCCTCCTCTAATTTAGTTTGGATGAAAAGACCCTGCAATGGACCTGCACTGTGCTCAGGAACTGAAAAATAAGCAGCTTGATCGCCAACAACCTAGAATACTTTGGCACGGTACTACTGAAAATGTACATTAGTACATTTAATAATTAAGCTGAAAAAGGAGAATATATAACATATATGTATGTATGTATAATAGAATGATGACAACAGAAAAATGAAACAAAAAATTAGAATATAGTTGGTTAAATAAATAATACTCTCTTTGTGTATTTTGTGTATTTTATGTGTCTAGACCAGTGATGGTAAACCTTTTGAGCTCGGCGTGTCAGCACTTTGAAAAACCCTAACTTAACTCTGGTGCCGTGTCACATACAGAAATTTTTTGATATTTGCAACCATAGTAAAACAAAGACTTATATATTTTTGATATTTATTTTATATATTTAAATGCCATTTAACAAAGAAAATTCAACCAAAAAAATGAGTTCGCGTGTCACCTCTGACACACGTTTCATAGGTTCGCCATCACTGGTCTAGACCATGTTACAGTAGATGTAGTTCCTTGTTATTTTCCCATTTTTGTTACCTCTCAGGTTGGGAGTGTCTAAAGCAGAATCATCAGACAGGGTCACGAAATGGATTAATTTGGTTTTGTTCATTATAGAGCAAAGCTCTCCCTGTTGATAAAGTTTATAGATGTATTATAAAAGTCATACAAACAGTAAAATGTATTTATGTAAAAAACAAGTGTCTTTTCCCCAGTCCAACTTCCCAGAAGTCATCATTGTTAAGAATTGATGTGTTGCCCTGGCTGGTATGGCTCTGTTGGTTGAACATTATCCCATGTACCAAGGAATCGCTGGTTTGATTCCCAGTCAGGGCACATGCCCAGATTGCAGGTTTGGTCCATGGTCAGGGCGCCTATAGGAGGCAACTGATTGATGTTTCTCTCTCACATCAATATTTCTCTCTCTCTCCTTCTCCTTCCCTCTCCCTCTCCCTGTTCTCCTTTCCTCTTTCTCTAAAATCACATATTTAAAAAAAGAATTGATGCGAATCTTTCTAGTTTTCTTTTAACATAACACAAGTGGGCTTATACTATACACACTATTTTGCATCTTGGCCTTTTTACGTAATATATATTAGATATGTTTTAACTTTACAATTGTTTTCAAAATTCAAAATGTTTTTTTAAAATATATTTTTATTGATTTCAGAGAGGAAGAGAGAGAGTTAGAAACATCAATGAATGAGAGAGAATCATTGATCAGCTGCCTCCTGCATGCCCCCTGCTGGGGATCGAGCCTGAAACCCTGGCATGTACCCTTGACCGGAATCGAACCCGGGACCCTTCAGTCTGCAGGCCGATGCTTTATCCACTAAGCCAAACTGGCCAGGGCCAAAATGTTCTAACTAAGACTAAAATCCCTTTAATCAAAAGTCTCAATCCTGGTCAGTTACCTCCTTTCAAGAAGTAATCACTGTTTCTACTTTGGTATTTATCTTTTAAGACTTTTTCCTATGTTATCTATAGAAAATTCATAGTATTGGTTTTGTGTGTGTATATTTTATTATGTATAACATCATCCTCTGTGTACCTTTATGCAACTTTCTTTTTCGCTCAAATAATATGTTTTAGAGATTTTTCCTTGCTGCCTGGTGTTAAGTGGGTCATCTTTACCCATATTTACTCTTCTGTATTATAATTATTTTCACATACTCCTATGTTATTGCCTAATGGTTTCCTGTGCTTAATATGTATGTAAAATTATAGTCTTTGAGACTTACTTATGGAAATGATGGTTGCCTACTGAGAGTCTGGATTGAGGGTCTTTTCAAATTCTCATGTCTAGAAGATCTGCATGTACAGGAAGCACAATGGATAGCTTCTCCGCCTTTTGGCTAAGATCAAGTGTAGAAAGCACAGTGAACATGGGTTTACCTATAGAATACTTCATTGATGTTTATATGCCTTTCTCTGGATGACAGACCATTGGCATGTCTGTTCATTCTAAGAAGATGAGAGTATATATCAGAGTTTTAGCTGTTATCATCATCATCATCATCTGTTTTGGAGTCAGTATTAAATTATCTTTGTAATTGTGCTCTTTGGTTCCTTTTTCATTTTTCTCTCCCTGTCATGCCTTTCTGCTGTCTTAGCTGCCCAGAGTAGGATCAGTAGCAGCCTTTTAGGTATTCATACAGCTGAGTGTTCCACATATTCTTACGTACTTGCTCCCCATCTCTGTGGCAGCACACAGTGGACACAGGAGTACTAGAGTCTCAAAGCATCCCCATTTAATGATGACCAGTAATACCCTAAAACCTAGGCTGACCGCCATGCCAGTTACACCATAACTCTTCTATCAGTTAGCCTGTTTTTCTTATCATTGTTGACTAACTCTGCTGGAAGTTGGACCACTAGAGCCATGTGGGCCACAGTTTATCCCTACCCTAAGTAGCTTAATGAGCTAGATTACTGATTCTGGACCACAGGAATCTTTTAGTAGACCCCTCTCCATGAATTTTCTTTTGGACCTCCATTTATATCTATATCTCAGTATTCAACATTTTGAATCATCTCCTATGTTACTGTATCATGTTCCTTCTATTTAACTGTATGCTTTATAATGGCAGGAGTCTTGTCTTACCCACAGTTTTTTTACTTAGTTAAGATTGGATGAATAAATTGAACTTCAGCCTCTGGAATTCTGTTTTAAAGTCCACTTATTTGCCAGAGAAATCATATTTGACTTAATCTCTGGTTCAGGTGTATATCCACATAGTCCTGTAGGAAGTAGTCTTTCCTTCTTTTTTTCCCTTTCATTTTATTCAACCATTTTTACTATCTGAATTGTTCTAGATATGGTGCTACCTATAAAGAGTGTGTTAGATCAGTGTTTCTCAAACTTTAACATACTTGCAATTCACCTGGGATCTTGTTAGAATGCAAATTCTGTTTCAGTAGGTTTGAGGTAGGGTCAGAGAGTGTACATTTCAAAAAAGCTTGGTGCTGCCAGTGCCACTTGTAGGGCAGGGTAGAGAGGGGCAAGCACACTTTGAATAGCAAGGTTTTAGATGATACATAATGTTCCCCAAGTACAGACTCTTAAATTCGCCTTCATGAAGGGAAATGCCATGCTCCAGTTTGATTTCAAAGACTCTAAGTAAAAGATGGTGATTTAAAAATAAGAGAGTTTGGAAGAGCTGTGGAATTACTATTATTGTTTTTCTATTATAATTGACTTGATCCTCCTTTTCAATCTCAT